CAAACCTGAATACTCGTATTCGTGACAGAGGTCTATCTGCCCGTGAAATGTGGTACCAGCGTGACCAGTTTACGAATTCGCAACTTCCCATCTCCGACCTACACCTAATCAGAGAACAGCACTCTCACCGTATACATAATCACCCTGCCAGTGAGAAGTCTAAAACCCCCAGTGGTCAACGCCGAGCATCGCCCGCCCTTCAAGTTGGTGACCTGGTATATATCACTTCGGATGGCTCCAAAACTCGTGCACGAGATCGATACTTGGTTGTGTCAATTGATGGGTCGTGGTGTAATGTACGCAAGTTTGCTGGTTCCCAACTCCGATCCTCGCCATATCGCATCAAGTTATCAGAGTGCTTTCTTGTCACCAACAATTTCACTGCTCCACCTCCAAGTCCTCGTCTCCACCAACCTCACAAGTACACTCCAGCTGCTGAACCCAAGCCTCCCTGTCCACCTCGAGTCCCGGAAAAGTTATCCCTTCCACCCTACAACGATGATTGTGTTTTACCCTCATCTCACACCACTTGTTTCCCTGGTCCTGATTACAAACATTCCCCGTCTAACTCTTATAAAGCTGATGAGCTCACTACTAGTCTTCCTAGCCCCTGCCAGTCACCCTCCACCCCCGCTGCATCCGAAGATTCACCTGCCCCTCGACGCTCCAGTCGCCAACGCCATTCTCCCGTTCACCTGCAAGACTTTGTTACATAATTGAACGTTTACATATAGCTTAAATTTATATTGGTTTACACTAACACTCTCGGAACAATATGTAGAGAAAGACAGACAAAAAGTAGTCACGCCATAGTGTGGCTTTTAGTTGTTATTGTTGTTAGTAAAGATCACATGCGCCTGCGATGTTGTTCGCGCCTAGGCGACCTTTACTTCATGTTAGTATACTCTTGTGGCTTGTCTTGGCCTCGTTGTTGTTTTATTCATAACATAGTATTAAAGACTACCATTTAAAGTCGTCGTTTTAGCTTCGCTGTCGAGTGCCCTCCTAAACATTGGCGCAAACTGCGTGGCATAGAAGAGGCCCACTGGATCTGGCTCTTCTTCTGTTGTCTCACTATGCAAGGGTAATCTAGACAAACCATCCGCATTCCCGTGTAAATTAGTGTTCTTGTATCTAATTGTATAGTCAAAACCCGCCAAGAACAAAGCGTAGCGTTGTAATCTAGCAGCAGTGACAACAGGAAGGCTTTTGCTAGGATGAAAGATTGAAGTGAGAGGCTCATGATCAGTCAGTAAGGTAAAGTTCCTACCGAAAAGGTAATTGTGGAATTTCTTGACTCCCTACACTGTAGCTAGTGCTTCTTTATCTATCTGTGCGTAGTTGCGCTCCGCCTTCGACAGGGATCTCGATGCAAACGCTATCGGGCGCTCTGTGCCGTCTGTCATGACATGGGACAGTACCGCTCCAATTCCTAAAGGTGAAGCATCACAAGCCAGTTGTAAGGGAAGGTTAGGATCATAATGTGTAAGCACCAGATCTGAAACAATCATTGCTTTAACTTTGCAAAAGGCTTCTTCGCATTGATCTGTCCAGTTCCATTGGTAGTTACTTTCCAGCATTTGGTTCAAAGGATGCAGGATTGTAGCAAGGTTTGGCAGGAATTTGTGGTAATAATTCACCAATCCCAGGAAGGAGCGTATCTCTGCAACACTCTGGGGGCGAGGGGCATTCACCATTGCAGCTGTCTTGTCGGTGGTCTTGTGCAGGCCTTCACTATTAATGTCGTGGCCACAGAACGTGATCTTTTCTTTGAAGAACTCACACTTCGATTTATTGGCTCTTAACCCATGGTGGTGCAGCCGTCGAAGGACCTCCTCCAGGTTAGCCATATGCTCTGCATCGCTTTTACCCGTCACAATCATATCATCTAGGATACAACTAATACCAGAAGTTCCTTCCAGAATCTGATCCATGGTACGCTGCCAAATGGCGGGAGCTGAGGTAATACCAAACACCAATCGATTGTATTGAAACAAGCCCATGGACGTATTAATTGTAAGGTACTTCTTGGATTTTTCCTCCAGCCCAATATGATGGTAAGCTTGGCGGAGGTCAATCTTGGAAACCTTTTTCCCACCAGCTAAATGGGCAAAGATATCTTCGATTCGAGGCAGAGGATACTGTTGTGCTTGTAGTGTTGGGTTAATAGTACCTTTGAAGTCACCACAAATACGGACTGAACCATCTTGTTTCGGCACTGGTACAATCGGTGTCGCCCAATCACTCCACTCTACTTTCGACAAAATACCTTCGCTCTGAAGTCTCTTCAGTTCTTCCTCCACTTTCGGTCGTAAGGAATATGGGACCTGACGAGCTTTGCGAAACTGCGGTTGACTACCTTCTTTGAGGGTTATCCTTGCTTTGGCAGACTTGAAAGTTCCCAGCTTGTCTTCAAAAACCTCTGCATACGTATCCAATAGGTTTTTCAGCTTCTCTTGTGTAGTCGTGCCAGGGTTTCTATGGCTGGAATCTGAGGATTTCAACAACTTAATGGTTTTCCAGTCGAGGCGAAGCCTGTGAAGCCAATCTCGACCCATTAACACTGGACCCTTAGTCTGGACTACATGGAATGGCAATTGACATGATTGATCTAAGTATTCAACTTGCATGGTAAGGCAACCAACTGGAACAATCAGTTCACCAGTATAGGTCTTTAGTAAGGTGGTTGTTTTCTCTAACTTCTTGTCGCGAAATCTTTCCAAGAACATGTCATATGGCAAAATGGACACGGCCGATCCTGTGTCTAGTTCCATGGATAGTGGTTGATTTTCAACTTTCACGTCAACCCATATGACATCACTGTTTGATTTGTTTACATTATGAACTTCTAGGTTATTCAACAAGTGTTCAAACTCATCTGGTTCGGTCTCTATGGCATTGGTCGATTTCTGGTATCTTGATCTGGGAGAGGGTCTACCGGGCCCCTGGCTTTGTTGTGCCCGGCAAGCTCTTTGAATATGACCTCTCTTTCCACACTTGTGACAGACTTCTTTCTTAAATCTACACTCAGTTGCAACATGGGTATTAGCTCCACATCGATAACACACTACAGGGGAAGGTGGGCCACTATCTGATCTATTCGAGGGTCTGTTCAGTGTCAGTTTGTCAAGACCAAGAAGTTTTTCTTCTCTACCCTTGCTGTGGATCTCTGTAGCATCTCGAGTGGCTGTTTCCATAGCGATTGCTATGTCAACAGCTTTGGAGAATTTTAATTTTGACTCTGCAAGGAGACGTTTCTGAATTTGCTGATTACTTAATCCACACACCAATCTGTCGCGCAAGGTTTCTTCCAAGTTACTTCCAAAATTGCAATGCGTGGTTAATTTCTTTAACTGAGCTATATAACTTAAAATGCTCTCCCCTTCTTGCTGATTTCTCTTATAAAAACGAAACCGTTCGGCTATTTCTAGTGGTTTAGGATTTAAATGCTTCTGTAATGTACTTACTATTTCATCAAAGTTCTTGTCTGCAGGCTTTTCTGGCAAAAGTAAATCCTTTAATAATGAATACGTTTTGCTTCCAATCAAACTCAGCAGAGTTGGCACTTGATGATTGTCGTCGACATCGTTTGCAGCGAAAAAATGTTGTACTCGTTCGACATACGTCTCCCAGCTTCCGATCTACATATCTAATGCGCATGTCCGTGCGTATGACCGCTGTCCGTCTATATCTATATATCTAACACTAACAGCCGTTGCTATGGCAACAATTACGTTTCAATATGGCGGATATTTTTGGTTCAAAGTAATTTATCTTTTAGTATGTTGAATCTTTTTCGTAATTTTTAAAAAATTCTGAAATGCCAATTTTTTTAAGATCGGAAAATGTAATAATTCGTAATTCTTTTTTTTTTTGGCTTGACAAATTTTTTTGAAAATCATAACAATGATTCAAAAATCAAAATACTAAACGAATTCTTATTCTGAAATAAGAAATGGGGCTAACCGACCTTATTTTCATGTTAAATAACTTGAAACTCAAATTGAAGCGTCATTGTTGCCATAGTAACGGCACTTGCCATTCCTTTTTTCCCTCGAAAAAATCCAATTCTGTAATTATCACTTTTCTAGTCGGACTTTCTTTGTCTTTTAACATATAAGAATTGTTGAAAAATTTGTTCTAAGTCGCAGATCTTCCATTTTTTAGTAAACTGTATAGACAGCCACCAGAAGAAGCTGCTTTAAATTCCCAAGAGCACAAAATCGTGCGCTTTACAAAGTTATTTTAATTTCTTAATAAGTCAATATTTATAATAAAGTTATGCACCATGTCAATATTAATTCTACGCATGTTTGCATTCAGTATTATGGTATTCAAACTCTAACAATACGTTATTTTAATAGTTTTGGGTCTTTTTAGGACACCCAGCATAGTAAATTCAAAGGTCAAGCTCATGCTGGAATGATCATGGAGCCAGCACTGTGAACGGGTTGTACATAATGGTTAGTTGTTCATGCCGCGCAATGTTTTTAAAAGAACGAGGTTATAATATATTAGTGCGTTCATAGAGGCTGTCCTGTGAACAGTGTGAAGGTTATACTCCATGCATGTTTGTTGTTATTTTCTGGCAACATTTTAAAGAACGGAGGCAGTACGGATTATGTAATGTGTCTATTGGATCCATTTCATCATTTGGTCCGACTCGACAAGCCTTGAACTGGGCTGGCTTAAGTTTACTAAGCACAACATGACGCCAAGCACAGTATGACTCCAAATAAAAATGTTGTCCATTTGATCTGTTTGAACCACTTGAAATGTTATTTCCCATTCGATTCAAGTGATCGATATTGGACATATATAAAAACCCAATTAAGGCAAGTCTGAAGAGTATTACTAAGGCCTTTATAATCACCCCTTATTTGCACCATATAAACTGCTACTTGGAAAACTATTGAACCCTAGTAAACACCTCTTGTCCTTTCCATATGTCAAGGCTAGTAACGCCGGGCAGGTAACGTACAGGCATATAAATAGGGCAAACACTTTTGACCAGTCGATAGATGGAAGGTTAAAATCACCCACGACAACTACACAGCTAGACTCAGTTGTATTTTGCAGATAGGTATTCAGTTCTTGTAGAACATCAGGTGTGGAGTTAGGAGGTCGGTAAAACGTGAATAGAAATATTATTTTGTTTGGCGCAATTGATTCAGTTGCAACAAGTTCACTACTTTCAGGCCCGAGATCCAGTCGACGAGTTGCTTGTATACCATTTTTTACAGCCATAAGAACACCTCCACCAACCTTCCCAATTCTGTCGCAACGAAAAATAGAATATCCCGGTAATAATTCACTGTTTAATAATTGATTCATTGAGCCAATTGTTTCACATATACAAACAACGTCATGAAAAGCTCCATGAACAAGCTGCTGCAATAAAGTGCTCTTACAAACTTTAGATGAGTAAAAGTCAGTGTTGTCGTGTGGAGCAAAGGCATTTAGATAAAGGCATTTAGATAATTCAAACTTCTCGCATTTTGATAGAGAAACTTTAATCCAAGTGAAGAGGCTTCACTAGGTCTGGGATGGAGTGGACCAGGATTCAAATGCACGTCGTTCGCCAGAAGAACCAACAGTAATGGTAAATACGATCTTTGCAACAATGTAGAAGCATTGCGTACAGTTCGTTGTATTGACAGCGACGTGGAGTCTTTTCTCATACGACGTGCTTGAGAAAAATTAGGAGCTCTTAATACGTTCGTTGTGGCGTATAGCAAGGTTTTCCGGTCATCGTTCGTGAAACGAGCTGCACGAAAAATCAACCATGCAAAAAGAATAAAATAGATTGTTCTGAATAGGATTATGTCTCTCATGTTGATGGAATAATACCGGGGAAAGTCCCGCACAAACTGTTCGAAGAAGATTTGGCAATGAGGACTATCTCAAATTACTAAAGCGGTTCAAACAGAAACCATCCACAGTCTAGAATGAATAATTAAAAACTCACGGTAGATATGTAAATATGCAAATGTAGTTTAAATAAAGATAGAACATCAGAACCAAATAAAATGTTGAGATTTGTGAAAACCTGTTGCACGAACAGTATGGGACGTCAAGAACAGTACGATGTTATTTTTCCGTATTCAGAGCTTCAATGATTAGTTGTTACCATGACAAATGACGCCAGCAGGATTTAATTAAAATTCAAAACGTTTCAACGGCCAAAATAGTAAGACAACAATTATTTAGAAAATATTCCAACAAAAGTCACGAAAACTTGGCAAAATGCTTGATCACGGCAAAAACAAACTCTATATTGTAGATATACCAAAAATCATGCGTTTCATGCATATATTTATTTATTAACTTTACAATCATACAAAAAATATAACAATGATTGAAGGTATGGTCAACAGGACATGAGTCCCATGTAAAGACCAACCTGATACAATACAATACAATAAGTAGACATACATTAAAGACAAGGACTAGAACACTATTTACATAGCTATATAAAAATTAATAGTTTAGATTATGAGCAACAGCTTAAGTTGAAAGAACAGCATTAGGTTTTCCAAGTGCGCATTCTGTTAACATCGAAAGAAGAGTCTAATTGAGAAGAGTAGTGAGAATGGAGCTGGATCTTAAAGGATGAAACATAGAACAAGAAACATGAAAAAAAAACATGAAAAAAAAATAAATAAATAAAAATTAAAAATTAAAACATGAAACATATATTTTAGGTGGTGACAATCTCGAAATGGCGGCTAGCCGTTTTGTGGAAGTTACTGATAAAGAAATAAGTGAAATTAAAATAAATTCAGTTCCAAAAAAAACACAAAAGACTTGGGTAAAAATACTAGGCTAAAACAATTATTCTACTCAAGCTCGGTAGTGATTATTGGGGAATATTCACCTTGACTTCGTCTCGGCGAATTTTCAACCATAATCACCTCGCCTTCGGAGAAATAATTGTTAAATGTTGGTCAAAAAGCCAGTATTAAATTATCACGCCTAAGTTCAGTGTGTCTCAGATAATCTTGGAAATAACCCCTGAGACCATTATTGCCCATGCTGCAAAGTTAATGGACATTGGCAAAAAATTTTTGCCACTCCATGTCCCCCAGTTCAATCTTGTATGAACAACACCGAAATAGCTTTTGGTAATTTATCATAACACAAGCTCAACATTTGTAGGGGGGATGGGGAAGGGGGCGTCGACTTAAGAAGCAAAACCTGATTCAACATGGAATATATAATGAAACTTTATTAAATGTTTTTCTTTACATACATATACAATCGTAAATCTCTCTCATAAAGGTAACTTACGGTTGGCTATTTGAATCACAATTATACTAAATGAAAAAAAACCCAGAACAAAGTGCATGCAATATATATATACAATGAGATAAGTCAAATTGTTAGTAAATCCGGATTTTCCCATTCCTTATTTCGGCAGCAAAAAATGTAATATGTAGTTCTAATAGCAATAGTCATCATTTTCCTAACGCAGTACATTTGGTGGTTTTTGTCAAGACCAATACTATCTAACATGTCTAAAAATGTATAACATTCTTCTGCAAAAATACCTAAAGAGCTGATGGAAAGATTTATAAATTTAACTTGGTTAAAATTTTTACCTAGCTGTCTCAATAATTCTCTATATTTATCCTTCTTCCGTTTTACGTTGTTTTTGAGGTTTGTCTCATAACCAGTGGTGAGTTCAACCACATATAAGGAACCATTTGAGCACGATAATAACAAATAATAATAATAATTACAATTTATATTGCGCTAATTCCATATATGACATAATCAAAAGCGCAGCACAATAATAGTCAATTTACAAACATGATATTTACAATTAAAAATGGAGGTATATATATTAGGTAAACATCAAAGTCGGCAAAGTACATGTGACAACAATAATTATAACGTTTATAGATCAAAACTATTTTAAAAAGGTAACTTTTAAGGGAACGTTTAAATGAGTCTAAGTTGGTGATGCCACGATTGTCACCAGGTAGTGTATTCCAAAGTATGGAGCTGCTACCTGAAAACTTCTATCACCAAGTGTAGAAGATGATTTAAAAGAGGGATTCTTGAGGAGAAGAGAGTCAGACGATCGTAGGTTATATCTCTTATTATTGCAGATAACAAGGAGATCTTTCAGATAATTAGGACACATTTCATGAAGTCCTTTATAAGTTAATAGAAGAATCTTATAGTCAGTACGGAACTTGACAGGTAGCCAGTGAAGTTCACGCAGAACAGGAGTTATATGGCAGAATTTAGGAAGGCGACGTATAATTCTGGCAGCTGTATTTTGGACACGTTGAAGCTTGTTGAGCTGATATGCCGGAAGCCATATAAAAGACTGTACGCGCGCGTTGCAGTAATCAAGACGTGACGAGATGAACGCGTGAACTAATATTGTAGCAGATTCACGAGAAAGGTATTTTCTAATCCTTTTTATGTTGCGTAGATGATAAAACGCCGCGGAACAAAGTTTGTTTATGTGAGTCGACATAGATAAGCTAGAATCGAGCCATACGCCAAGATTCTTTGCTACTGAGATGGGTTTTACATTGGTTTCAGTGATGGTAATGTTGTCAATATTGACTTTTGCAAGTTGTTGTTTCGTACCAATGATGATAAATTCAGTCTTGCCGTCGTTCATCAATAACTTATCATTACATAACCATTTCTTAATTTCCACAACTCAGGATTGCATTGCAATCAGTGGCATGGCAGTGGTTTCGTTCGCCATATGACCAGGCTTGAATGAGATATATAATTGGGAGTCATCAGCATAACTGAAGGCGTTGGGAAGATGAGAGCGCACAATATCAAATAATTTACTGGTGTAAAGCACAAATAATAGAGGGCCTAGGCAAGACCCTTGAGGGACACCATGTTCGAGTTTGAACATATCAGACTGTACTCCATTTATGATGATTCGTTGGGAGCGACCAGCGAGATATGAGGAGAACCATTTGAGGCCAGTGTCAGAGATGCCAAATTTGTGTTGAAGACGTTGGAGAAGAATCATGTGATCAACAGTGTCGAAGGCAGCACTGAGATCCAGTAGAACAACAAGTGTCACATGCTGCTTATTCATGTTTAGAAGGAGGTCGTTTTTAAATTTAAGCAGTAAGGTTTCTGTGCTATGATAAGTGCGATAGGCTGACTGTCCAGATGGAAACAGTTGTTCCTCGTCCAAAAACGAGTGAAGTTGGTTGTTGGCAGCCTTCTCAGTAAGCTTTGAAGTAAAGGCAAGATTACCGAGAGGTCGATCATTCGCGAAATTTGGTTCTGAATTCTCCTTTTTAAGATTAGGATGAACGACAGCATTTTTCCAGTCAACAGGGAAGTGACCAGTTTGTAGCGAAAGATTCACCATGGTAGTTATCACCGGAAGTAGAACGTCTAGGCAGTTTTTGACTAAATATGTAGGTATAGGATCTAATGAGCAACATTTTGTTGGAGCAGTCGTTATGAGAGTTCTGATGTAATCTTCAGAAACTTCATCAAAAGCCGGGAATTTTTGATGGAGCGGGACATCACAATTGTTTCAAAGTAATCTTGGTCATGTTGATCAGTGGCAGTGGAGGGATGTTGAACGCATAGCTTAGATAAAATATCGGCGATTTTCTTGACGAAAAATCTACCAAAGTCATTGGCAAGGGAATAGGTGGGAATAAGTGGTGCATGATTATCTAGTATGGAAGACAGTGTGTTGTTATAAGAAGAGACGAGATCGTCAAGTTGAATGGATGGGTTAGTACATAAGTCAGATTTAGCGATATCGTCTTTAAACTTTTCCATGTTGATCAGTTTAAACTTTCGATAGGTAATTAATTTAGGAGAGGGTTTAGAAACGTAGCTGTTAAGCTGACATAGGACAGCACAGTGATCTGAAATGAAGCGCCCAGCTTGTGGAAGATTCGCGATGAGACTCTCCGTCCGTCGGGTAATGATGAGGTCTAAAGTGTGACCTTTTTCGTGTGTCGGAAAATGAACATGCTGAGTTAATTAAAGCCATAGAGTCTAATTAATCCAGAAACTTGGTAGCATCCTGGTCTGCAGTAGAAGAATCTACATGTATGTTGAAATCACCGGTGATTAGCAAAGCTTCAGGAGATAAAATAACTGTCTCAAGATATGCTGCAAATTCATTTAGAAATACTGATGTAGTAACTGGGTGATTTACTGAGTATGGAGGCCGGTAGACAATAGTTACACGTAACCGTTTATTAGGAGTGGAAGTAATGATCCATTCAGAAAATTCAAAAGACGATTTCTCGCCAGCAGCTACTTTAGATATCGCTATGTTTTCACGGCATAATAAAGCAGTACCGCCTCCAATGCGACCAATACGCGGGTTATCACGAAGGATATATAGCCGGGTGGTGTACACTCCACTTTGACAGCCGAATCAGAAGATGTTAACCAAGTTTCGGTGACAACAATCAAGTCGAAGTTAAGAACAGACACGTATAATGATAAAAATCTGACTTGTTCTTTAGAGACCAGGCATTCACCGAGCATAATGTGAGTGGAGTAATTGGAGTACTCGGCACCGGAGAGCGTTCTATTTCAATAAGGTTAGATGAAGATTGACTGAAAGGTCTAGATTTATTTCTTCGGGTTTTTCTCTAAACGAGCAGTAATTATGACAGGGGTTGCACGATTATTTTGTTCTGGGTATTATTTTGTTAAAGGGGTACGCAGACGGAAAGGTATGGTCTCAAGCAGTTACGTCTAAGATTATAGCTGTTGGTTATCCAATGTTTCGAATTATTGTGTGACAACGTCGTAAAAACGGTAACCGATTTTGTTTATTACTTTCTTTAGCCAAATTTGCCTGTTATTTTTCTAACGTGTTGCCGATGCTCTGGCACATTAATGATGCACGTTGATTGCTGACCCTCCCAAGATAAATTAACACACAAGAGTTCGTAATAAGCTTTCTTTTCTGGACGACAACTCAACGTAACAGCAACTGCCACTATTACGACAGTGCACAACCTATTTATACAATTACGTCAGTCAACTACAATATACAGTATGTATAGTTACAATTCATTTACATTGCACGCCGAACTTGCAGTTGAATTCCAACGAAAGCCGATTAGTTTATGACTTTCTTTAGATTCCAATACTGTTTGGCACTCTCTCCGGTAACAGGTATGGATATGGAATCTTCACAGAAGCATTGCGTTTCTTAATTACTTCTGAGATACTCTGGAGAGAGGCTTGAAAACGAGAGATAACACCTTCTACTTCTTTGCCATTCAGAAGACCTTGAGAGAAATCTCCAATAAAACGCTAAAAGAGACAATTTAAATATTACTACAGTACTTGCAGCTTTTCAAATTTTCATTTTAGCCTTTAGAAGGAAACGATTTTACACACACTTTGAACGCTCACACTAATACGAGGGTAAATATTCGAAACGCATTCGAAAAGGGTATATATTTGAAAGGAATTCGATCAGGCACTCAGTAATTGAAAAGGAAATTATTTCACTGAATAGCTTACATCCCTTCGTGGTTGCAATCATTCTCTATCAGGGCAAGGTCACATATGCCTTAAAGTGCCTATGACACGAAATTTCACCCTTAAAATGATTTAATAATTTCTTTTGTAGAATTTTGGTAACTTGCTCCCTTTTCAAGATATTCAACTTTGTTTCATATGCAAGTATCACCGGTGTGACATCACATCACATAATGAGTTTTCAGAAAAGTATAGTTTTCTTAACGAACACGTATCTAAAAAACTTAAAAATTGCCCTTGTATATGTATATGTATTAATTTCATAACTGGTAATTAACCCTCTGTATTTGTTTGTAAAATATTGTAAAAGGTAAAATATTGCGTTTTCAAAATGTCATTATGCGATGTGGTGTCACACCGGTGATATTTGCATATGAAACAAAGTTGAATATCTTGCAAAGGAAGCAAGTTACCAAAATTCTATAAAAGAAATTATTAAGTCATTTTAAGTGATCTTTACAATGCAATCATAAACATTTGGGGTGAAACTTCGTGTAATTTAAGGGATGGATAAAGAGTGCCGAGAATTAGATAATAGACATTTGCTGAATTTGCTTCAGTGCGCACGAGACAATAGCATGAAATCGAACAACAAAAAATACTGATTCTAATGAAAAGTTACAAAATCAAGGAGTTACATCGGCGACCGACTTCAATTTTGCTTGTCCCTGCGGTCTGCACCTGAAATGCCTCTTAGTTTCTCAAAAAAATGTGTTTCCACTGCTTGTTTCCAGTTGGTGCAGGCGCGTGCAGCAAGTCTGGAAAAGTTGTAATCATCTTGTAAGGAGGTTATAGAGTGGCCAAAAGACTCGCTACAAGTTGTTCCAACACGTCTGATATCGCCTGCACAATCATAACAAGGTGTTAACGTTGCAACTTTATTGTTACGAACAGCCTTGTAGCAAGTCTTTAGTCTGTATCCGTTATTGACTTTGGTGATAACAACTAGTTCTAGGCTTGTCACAATAAGTGGGAACGAACAGTGCGAACACATCCTTATATCGGCTTGACAACAACCTTATTACAACATGTTTGCAGATCTTTCACAACTTGTGCGTTTTAACGTGTGTATTCTAGTGGATCTGAAATCGGCCCGACTAATGGTCGCCACGTTTTTGTCCTGTTTGTCGAAGATTCCTCATATTAATAATGGCAATTAATACCTCGTCCTCAGCTATCCTCGTCAATGTGTACATAGTGCCAATGTGCCATCCAGCCTGGATCTTATTTGGTAATGTGTCCATTATGTATTGCAAACTTGCTTGATTTTTCCTGGTAGGCGGTGGCAAGCGCATCACAGGCGGAACATTTGGGATAAAGCCAGTGATCTCCATTTGGGGAAAGTTTACGGCCGCGTGTTGGCACGAGGACGTGAACACTATGCAGGTGAGCACGTGTTGCAGTTCATCGCGTGTCTGCAGACACGCTGGAAACACGTGGTCTACATTACCTTAAAAAAGTAATGATTAAAACAGTCATGGAGGATGTCAATACAACTTTTCAATGGGGTTCTGCATTTCACAGTGGGTTACATTGCAACGTATTTGTAGGGTTTATAAACATTACAGGGACAATAAATATTTGGCAAGGTAATAGCGTGGTTTCGAGTGCAATTTGGAAGAATCGTGCATATGATCACAGTGTTTCTCAAAGGCAAATAACATGCATGAAAAAGTTACTTAATAGGCTATATAGTATAAGGCCGTGTTTAGACAACGCATTTCAGGGCACTGAACAGAATCTAATCCAATTAAATACCGTCCTAATGCGGCAACTAGCTGCATGATCTAAACGCCGATCGTAGGTATCAGAAATGTCAGTACTAGATTGTTAATATATCTTGATCATATAATTATGTACGTTAAAAAATTATGCATTATGTTCGGGGAAGGAAAAGCACAGCGTCTAAACCCATGTCGAACCATGCAATGTCGCATAATACGATATGAATTTCCATATTTTGTGCCGTGTCGTCGAACCTAATCAAAACTTGTCGAACTTAATCGATTTAGACACCGCTCTGTCGTACCCAATCGTTGTTTAAAGATCAGTGCATAAAATATTTGCCATTTAAACCAGACTCACGTTTTTAAAAGAGCAATTCAATTTTATTCAAATAAAGTGCCAACACATGATAAATAATTCATGCAGTGCCAAGAAAAGAAATACGTGACAATCGCCTAAACAAAAGACATTTGGAATAAAGTTTCGACTTTTGACAATTGAGAACATGTATCAAGTTGTTATCATTCAAATGAGAATAATTTACTTAAATTATTCGCATGAAATTGACCATGAATTTGCTCCCGCATAATTTCTTCATGTATATTATAAAAATAATAATAGCATAGTTGCCCGGGTTTCTTTTGTTTCAACAGGGACGTTTAATCACGTATCGCCCGCTGTAGCGGGCGATTAGTTCTAATCGCCCGCTAGAGCGGGCGATTAGAACTAATCGCCCGTTACCAAGGGTCACACCTTTGTCTCCCTGACGACTACGCATTAGGCAAGTGCCTCACGCACATAATCGTGCAAGGAACAGCAACAGTTAGCTCAGAGCCGTCAATAGTCTATCATCCGATCCCTGAGTTGCCGCATCATTTAAATTACGCACGTGCAGTCTCCAAATTTATACTAATATATTTAGCGTGTTTGTTGTGGTACGTTAAATGATAGATTGCGCATGCGTAACCGATTAAAGCGTAAAAAGTGCGCATGTGCAACAAGCTTTTACATCCCACAAGCAATGAAGCAAATGTTTTAGCTTAAATACGCTGATTCCAAGTAGGGCATGTTTGTCCATTTTTAAATGGGAGCGAAACTATGCTATTACAAACTAATAGCATGGCTTTTCGGGAGATTAGTGATTAAATGACCCCTTACCCTCGGCAGGTTTGCGGAATTCCCTCGGGCTTCGCCCTCGGGAATTCCGCAAACCTGCCTCGGGTTACGGGGCCATTTAATCACTAATCTCCCTCAAGCCATGCTATTACTTATAATAATTGTGCGATTTCTTCTGCTATTGGAAGAAACCTACACTCGCGAGCTATCAAGCAACTTCAAATTGTATTCTCGTTGTTTGGACTCGTGCAATTTTGAAGAACTCGTTCGTCTTTGAAAAACTCATTCGTGTATGTCTGTTCTTTTTCAAATTGGACTGAAAGGTTAAAATTATAGTATTGCCTATACAAAGACAATCAAAATTGCAACAGTTTTACGACGATAAAAAACGTGGTTTGTTCTTGGTGAAATTAGTTTTGTAAATGTTAAAATAGGATAAAAGATTCCGGAAGATCGAAGCTATATCTGACTTCATTGCAATACCATTTTCCTCGTTAAGGAGAGCCCTTGGCCACGAAAAAGCTGAATTTAAATTTCTGCACCTTCTCTCGTAGGCAGGCCGTTGTCATCAATGTCCGTCAGCCACGACTGCAGCTCGTGGTCGTTGCACACGTCATCATCCGATTGATAGAAAATGACAAGGAACTCACGGATGAACTTAGAAATAGCGTCCCACATAAGAAGCCCATCATCTCTGATAAATAAATGGTAAGTAATATCATTATATATAGGGAGCACACAAAAATTAGGAAAAAGTGGTCGCGCCGCGCATAAAACAAGGCATGGCCAGGACTTTTTTACTTACTGTACCTGAAAGGCAGGGCAACGATTTTTTATAAATAAAAATAACAAGGTACTTATATTCTTTTGATACGCAGATATAACCCATGCAATTAATTATACAACATAACAGTCGAAGAGAAAAAGAATTCGACTAACAAGAGATCGGCCTGTATAAGGCCTGTTTTAGGCCTGTTTCGAACGTCGCGCTTCTCATGTGCCGAACGCATTAGAAACAATAGATAATGAGGCACCGCCGATTATCTATTGTTTTTAATGCGTTCGGCACATGAGAAGCCCGACGATTGAAACAGGCCTTAAACGTCGAATTTCGGTCGCATCGAATGCAATTCAAACAATAGACAATGAAGCTTAAATTAATTATGTTTATCATCTCGTTATCTATTGTCTTAATTGCATTCGACGCGACCAAAATTCTGACGTATAAAACAGGCCTAAAATTGACTATCAGTTTTACACACTTGTAGTTGTGCCCTTGATTCCACACCTACATGTCTTGATTACTGACAATGGTCGAAGCTTGTCTTTTCTTAGCTCGGGTTCTTTTGAACAGACTATACGCTGTGACTGTAAATAGCTGCAATATGACGCGACGGCAATGTGAATTTTCTTAATTTCGATTGAATTTCCGATCATTCATTCACATACCCCCTCCTTGCAAAGCAGGCGCGCATCAAGGAAAATGGACTTAGCAAGAAGGAACTGGAACTTCATTTCCTGTCCCTTTCACACACAACTTTTGGACATATTTTATCATTACATATTGAAGATTCGGCATGAAATCAAAGCAAGTCTTGGTCATACAAATATTAAAACACTCTTCCTTCTTTTCTTGTATTAATATTTAAGACAAAACGGACCTTCGTTTGAAACGCCAACATGGTTCACTGCGGTGTGGTTCGGGTGGGAGGAGGGGCAACACAGGGCTGGAGGACCCCAGTTTATATGTTAGAAAATGAGAGTCAGTGGATTTACCTGTAATAATAGTTTGGCAGCTTTTCAGGATCATCCACACCTCTGTTTTTCAACATCGCAGGCAGACAGAGCATGTCAAATTTGAAATCTTTGTAAGTCTTTTCCAAAAGCTGAATATGACCTCCTCCCCCAATGCTGAGTGTCTTGTCAACAATTCCCCCTTTGGCAACTAGTTCGTTTCTTCCTATCGTGTTAATGGCCACGACGGAACGAATGTGGGGGAAGAGCAGTTGGAACACTGGATGGATCGATGGTAACTGGCGCCATGAGGCAACACAAAATGCTTCTATTACCAAATGAGTTTTCAATAAATGCGTTGCCATCTGAAAGAAATGTGTAAGGAATGAAAACGTTAAGATTGACGTTTGCATCTACTAACTACTATTTCTAGTTGTTAACGTAACCGTTTGCGCTGCAGCAGGGGAGTAAATGTGGGTGGGGGGGGGGAGGTGGGTGCGGAGAGAAGGGTGGTCTACTCTGTGAAATGGTCCAGTCGGTCTCAGTACATCACTTAGAAGAAGTGTTTATTGTTCCACGAATCCTGATTCGCCTTTTTAAAAGGTTCTTCAAAACGGTGCAAAATTTGAGCGTATACATTACGCTATTCTGTAGTGCAACAACAAGGTATACTTCACCGTATTTACCCTACATGTTTTAAATGGCAGGTTCGTGTCCACTTGCTTAGTCGATTAAAAACACATATAAGTAGATTAAAACCAGTGGCGGAAATCTTGGTGGGGTGACGAATTTTCGGAAATTTTGGCCTAAAGGAGGGCTAAAAACAGTCTTTTCGAGTGCAAATGGGGGGGGGGTGGTATGTCGGAAATTTTAAAGTTTTGTCGGAAATTTAGGAGGCTTTGCCCCCCCCCCACTGGAAAAAGTGAATTTCCGCAACTGATTAAAACACATAAAAGCAATCTTTGCGAAAACTCCTCGTGCTTCTTGACAGGGAGTTGGAGGGAAAATTTTCACGAAACGTTTGTTCGCCACCACAGCAACTCGACTAAAAATGTTGTTTTTATTATATTTTTATGATTGATGATAAAAATACGCAAAGATTTATTGTTTTTATAATAAATCATAAAGATACAATAAATATAATATATTTACTTGAAAATATGCCCCCCCGCGTAACTTTCAAATTTTTTGTTTTTTTATTTCGATCCTAAATCTGTTATAGTAGGTTTTTTCCTTTCAAATGCAACTTATTTTCTCAGTTGTGATACCGTAATCTAAATACATGTGAAGACCAAAAAGTGGCATATATATACACGTACTTATCGCATTTATTTAATTATGCCCTGGATATCCATATTCGCAAAACAGCCATTAGTAGCCAATCTTTGATGGATATAGTATCTTTGGGTACTTATAATGTAGAAAAATGAAAAAAAATTCTGGAGCTCAAATTTTGTGAACCAGGGGGGGGGGGGTGTCTTTTCCAACAAGCTAAAAATGGCTTGCGCACGAAATTTAAAAGCTTTAATCATAAGAGTTAATAGATGGGAAACGTGTCGGATTTTTAATTACTGTACAAAATTTCAGACAATTTGGTTTAGTTTAAGTCCTTTAACTATTCATTTTTTCCTAAAAAATCAGCTTTTCGCATGCTTAATTAATGCCTTTACCTAATTTGCATATTGCTGACATATGCAAAAAAGGCAAAGTCATTAATTAGTATGCAAATAGATGGTTTTTGTTGCATGCCCATATATGGGCATGCAACTTTCATATAGCTCTAAATTTTGTGTCGCATTGTATCGGCGTTGTACCGGCGGTGGTAAATCACGTGACAGATTCGTAAAATACAAAGAAAATATTGATTTTTCGTCCAAAAAAGCTTTGCTGTTTTTAATTTACCTTATATTATGTTATTTTGTTATTTTGGTGCCATTGTGATCGCACTGATATTTATCAATTATCAGGCGTTTTAATATTGTATATCTTGTGAAAGGCTACGCCGTAACCTTTCAAACGATATATAAACCGCTACGCTATCAAAATATGCTCAAATTGAAACGATGCCATTGTGCTAGCACTGATTAAATTGTGTGCAAAACTTCAAAAACTTCATCACATTCTGTAAATAACATGAAATATATTTAAAAGTCAAAAAAAATTCTAATTAATACTATTGTCTATTGACATTTAATACAACGAAATAGCATTCTACTTCGATAATTTCAACCATAGTCGAGATCATAGTTTAATAATTATTATCAATCTATTATAGTAGTTCACTGTTTCCACGGGTTTTTATACTTTCAATAAGCTACGATAAAGCTAAATTTGTTTAAATTTGTAGGAGAGTATTACTGTATTAATAACATTGTTTACTTGGAATAGTCGATCAGTGATAAAATCTTGACTCTGACCTTCAGCAGTTGACCTTGTAATTACCGTCCCTTGCAATTGCACAAGAACAGTCGCTCATAAAGCATTGCCTATTCGTATGAGAATCTTACGTTTTCTTATATATATATATATATATATATATATATATATATATATATATATATATATATATATATATATATATATATATATATATATATATATATATAAATATATAAATATGCCAAACAAAGCTTGCTAAGTTTTTGTGTCTTTCTATTATGCTCTGGTTATCCATTGAGCACTCTATCATTGGTTTTTATAACCCTACACAAACTATTTTATATATATATATATATATATATATATATATATATATATATATATATATATATATATATATATATATATATATATATATATATATATATATATATATTGATATTAAACTTATTGAATCAATATGTTAAGTTTCAGGCCAGTTGGACCAAAATTTATAAGCGTTTGCGCACCACAAAGGCGGATATCGATTTCCATTCAGTGCAATATGTCGTGCGATCTACATTTTGCGATCACTTTCTTTTGAAATACAAGCAATCAAACGGATCAGGTTGACTGAACGCATTTCAAAAGAAATTGGTCGCAAAAAGTTGATCTCGCGATATTTTGCACTGAATGGAAATCGGCCTGAACGTTTCTAAGGCATGCAACATGTACGCACTGCGTACCTATTTTTTATAGTCCAGGACCTGTATATGCGTTTGTATGCATTTCGTTTAAGACAGATAATCTCAACTGTTTTGGGCAAGTTGACCATGACGGTCAACATGGTAACGCTGCCCGAACCCCAATCCGGGACGAAACGTCCGAAACTGACCAGACCCAAAAACGACGCTCTCGCTATAGTGCTATCTACCAAACCATAAAAGCTTTGGCTATTCCGAGGTGCTTATATGGTTCAGAGATGGTGGTTTTAGGGGTAGTCCTTGGTAAGTGTGAAATGCCTAGCACTGATATTTCACAAGAAAATGACCATGCAATACTCATAGTCAAACGTCAATTTGTGGCTTACAACTTCAAATAAACACCAGTGGATCTACATTACTTTTTTTCCTAAATCTTTTTGATAGAAACATAATTGGTACTTATTTAATTATACTATTACTGTTTTAGTGTAAAATAGTTAATATTTTGTGACCGAAATAATAATTTGAAATGTATATACCTCCTGCAAATGGACGTATTTGGCCAAATTCTCCACTTTACTCCGCTGTTTATGGCCGATCTCGTTGAAATCCTTCCAAGTATGCAATTCAGCTCAAACATAATGGTATCAAGCACATTTTAAACAAGTTTCAACTGTGTTTCAAGTAGATCCTAGCTGTTTAACCATCGGCAAGGTAAAGCCTCAACTTGTCGAAATTCGGCGCCATTTTGTCATCCCGTGTCGGTTGCAAACAATTCGACCCTGTTATGCTTCCATCCAAGCCATTTCCATTAACTAATAACAAATTTAACCCTTTGTTAAGGGTATTAAAATACAAATACAAATGAAATACGTGAAATGTAGCATTTTATCACCCTATAAAATGTTGCATACGATTCCTTCAAAACATTTCGTACAAATCTCGCGAGGTTTAGTAACAGGGGGCTGGAGACTTGAAAAGTGAAAGCAAAGCCCAACGCAGTATGGTAAAACCAACAATCAACATTTAATTTGTATGACTTGTTCATATTAATAAATAATAATATGTACTTATTTGTCGCTACAAGAAATAAAACAAACGTTTGTATGATTGTATTTAGTTTTTAGTCTATTTCACGCAGCCTTCTTCTTCTATCTTCGTGAAAAAATTCACCCCCTCCTGTCACGACCCTGTCACTTTGTCACGCGAGATTTGAACGGAATGTTTTGAAAGACTCGTAAGCAACATCTTACTGGGTGATAAAATGCTGCATTTCGCAAATTTCAATTGTATTTTTATTTTAATACCCTTAACAAAGGGTTAAATTTGTTATTCGTTGATGGACATGGCTTGGATGGAAGAATAACAAGGCCGAATTGTTTACAACCGACACGGGATGACAAAATGGCGCCGAATTTGGACAAAGTTGAGGTTTTACCTTTTCGATGGTTTTAAACAGCTAGGAATCTACTTGACACCAAGTTGTTTAAAATGCGCTTGCTACCACTATGTTTGAGCTGAAATGCATACTTGGAAGGATTTCAACGAGATCGGCCATAAACAGCGGAGTAAAGTGGAGAATTTGGCCAAATACGTCCATTTGCAGGAGGTATGTATATTTCAAATTATTTTTTCGGTCACAAAATATTAACTATTTTACACCAAAACAGTGATAATATAATTAAATAAGTACCAATTATGTTTCTATTAAAAATATTTAGGAAAAAGGTAATGTAGATCCACTGCTGTTTATTTGAAGTTGTAAGCCACAAATTGACGTCTGACTCTGAATATTGCATGGTCATTTTCTTGTGAAATATCAGTGCTAGGCATTTCACACTTACCAAGGACCACCCCTAAAACCACCATCTCTGAACCATATGAGCACCTCAGATGTAGTTGCGTAATGTAATGTAAGCTTGCGTGAATAGTTAAAGGGATTAAACTAAAGCAAATTGTCTGAAATATTGTACAGTAATTAAAAACCCAACAAATGTCCATCTATTAACTTAAAATATGATTAAAACTTTTAAATTTCGTGCGCAAGCCATTTTTTGTTTGTTGGAAAAGACATCCCCCCCCCCTGGTTCACAAAATTTGAGTTCTAGAAATTTTTTTCAAAGAAGCTATATACAGAGTGTATAAAAAAAAGCGCAATCCTCGACTGAAATGTAAATTGCTAAACAAATAATAGACGAAAACGTTAAAGTTTACATTCATTTTAAAGCGTAGCCATTCAGCTTTCTAACAGTGGGTTGTTTCTTAAATTGGACTCATTGGTTCGCGGGTAATAATACTTTACGTTATTGCGATTGGAGATTAGAAAAATTGAGATGGAATAACAAATCGTTCTCATGAAAATAACTGGGTTTTTTCATTAAAACAAAAACATGTTGCATTTTAATAAATGGATTGTAACAATAAGTATAATTACGGCTTTTCTTCCACTATTTTTAACACAGTTTGAAACTTCAAATGCGATATAATTTTGGTTTGGACCATCTAAGCTGACTGACATCAGCTTGCTATAATTTCTGTTTACATTACATCGTAATTCGATGACACTCTGGCTCAGACACCGGAATGTTTTGATTCTATGATTTTTAGCATTCGTTTAGGATTTTCAAACAACCTGGTCTCTTTTAAAATACTTTTAATTTGTTCCTACGTCAGGTTTTCCAGATGTAGTGACGACAACATTAAAGTTTAAAGAAGAAAATTCTAACATTTAAACCGACTAAACAATAACATAGTAAACTTGCATAATTAAACAGCAACTAAAAATGATAGGTTTTACTAAATCTTTTCCTGTGCAATTATTACTAGCATTGGAGACAAGAATAATAGCTTGTTTGAAAGAGAAAAGAACAGGCTTTGAAGTAAGCCTAAAAGCGTTTAACTGGAAATAGTATTTCGAAAGTTATTAAACACAAACGATGAATTGCGTTTATTTTGATACACCCTGTATATATATATACAGTATATATATATATATATATATATATATATATATATATATATATATATATATATATATATATATATATATATATATATATATATTTATAATATAGTCATTCACCGTATATGAGCTGTTCTGCAATCTGATTGGTTGAATTACTCGCCGTATATCAGCTCATATACAGCGAGTAGCGAAAAACAAGATGGCGGTCCAAAAACTACATGAGATTTGCGAAGCAGAAAAAGGAAAATATTCGCTTTGAGAAACATAATAGTACAAGGAAAAACTCTCAAAAAAAATTTGACAGGTTAGCAAAATACATTTATTACGTAGAAATTAGTTTAAATACAAGTTTTTTAAAGAATTAATACCGAAACAACAGCGAAAAAACATGTTCATTGAGAATATAAATCGTTCAGAAAAGTTTGCAATGAACGACAAATGAATTTGCAGTCAACAAGCACTTACTATAGTGCCAAACAGCTGTATAATATATCTGAGCTTTCCTGTGAGATATAGAGGTTCTAAAACAATTTCTTTCACTTCGTCTTCGAGTTGTAAAACAAAAGTATTTCAAATTTTCAAGCAGTTTTTTGCCGAAAAAATTGTCAACACATTGTAACAGTGAATAATTAATCAATGCTAATTTATCATATTACTATTAGTTTCGTACCACAAGATGTGGCACTCATCAGATAAATTAGCCTTATATATATGCTCTGGATATCCATTGAGCACTCTGCCAAATGTTTTTGTAAACAACGAAACCTAATTCTATATATATATATATATATATATATATATATATATATATATATATATATATCTATATATATATATATATATATATATATATATATATATATATATATATATATATATATATATATATATATATATATATATATATATATATATATATATATATATATATATATATATATATATATAAATTAAGGTACAACAATCAACAAAATCCACTAGGCATCTTTATAAAGATGCCTAGTGGATTTTGTTGATTGTTGTACCTTAATTTAAATATGCTCTGGTTTTCCATTGAGCACTTTACCAAAAGTTTTTATAATCAACGAAACCAAATCTTATATATATATATATATATATATATATATATATATATATATATATATATATATATATATATATATATATATATATATATATAAAAAGGTTAAAAAGAATTTCTTCAGGCATAAAATTGGAATAAAAAGATGTCAAAAATATTTTATTTTCCAGACGTTTCGCCGGTCAAGGCTTCATCAGTGGAATATTACTTATTACAATATATACGTCTATTATATACAAGCTAGTCTATTAACCGGCTACAGCATTGTCCAAATTCCTGGCCAAGTCATTAAACACACTCCTTTGTCATGTACCAACGCATCTTAAGAATACTCAAGAATTCATAGCCACATTATCTAGTATAGACGGTGATTTAATTCATGGTTTTTGTAGTCTCGATGTACGCAACCTATACGGCTCTATACCTCTTAAAGACATCAATAATAGAACACCCAGCGTATTTACGGTGGCCAAACGTTTCTTCAGTCAATACAAAGGTGATTGTGAACTATCCTGTTTAAGTGATGAAGATTTTGATAAACTTATCCGTTTATGTCTAACAAGCGATAACGTTTTAATTGGAGGCAACGCCTATCAGCAAAATTCGGGTTTGGCCATGGGAAACAATCTTGCCCCAACTTTAGCCATCATTTATATGAATGAAATCGATTTCTTAATTACGGACGGAGCGGGGGGTCGCGTAAAACTAAAGCGATTCATCGATGATTATTTTGCCTTCTTGATGTCACAAGAGATGTCCGGAGAGAGATTGTTGACAATAGCTAATGAACTTAACGATGCCATTAAGTTTACTCTAGAGATGCCTAATAACAACCAACTGCCATTCCTAGACACTTTGGTATCTTATAATCCCGCAGCTAAATCTTTCTCAGCTACACTTTATATCAAACCCATTCACAGCAAATGCATCACGCCGTGGGATAGTCATGGGTCAGTAGCATCTAAGCGGGCCATTCTTGTGGGTGAAACCAGAAGGGCCATTGGTTGCTCTACGAACCCCACTCATTGTAAAGAATCTCTTAATAAGGTCTTCACATTGTTCGTGAACAATGGATATCCTAGAAGGTTTGTTAGGGATACAATAAGACACACAACACGCAATAAACCACGTAAGGATGACAAACGAGAAAATATCTATGTGAAACTTCCCTATATTAACAAAGAACTTAAACGACGTGCCCTTTCAGTAATACGTAGATCAGGAATCAACAATGTCAAAATTCATTTCATGAACGGCAGACCTTCATCACGAGTATTTGCCCCACCCAGAGATAGAGCAAGCTGTCGGGAAGATTGCGAAAATGTAAATCAGCAAGTAAACCTAAACAGTGTCTGATAAAGAACGTCATTTATGAAATCATATGTTCAAGTTGCGGAATAGTATATGTTGGAGAAACCGGTAGAACAATTGGATCGCGAATTAAGGAACACTTAAAAATGGACAAACAAACTGTGTACAAACATATAGAATCTCATAAGAGTAGACGACCAGATCAATCCGACATAAGTTGGAAAATACTACATAGAAATATAGCCTACCAAGAAGAACGCAAATGTATCGAAGCCTTTGAAATACATAACCGTAGCAAAAATATTATGAACGGTTGCATAGGTAGAACAATTAGTATTTAATTAACCAAACACTGCCTGACCGGACTCGTAGCTAATTGACATTTCAATAGATTTTATAATTTTTTATTTTTTCTATTTTATTCATGAATTTTTAATAGACTAGCTTGTATATAATAGACGTATATATTGTAATAAGTAATATTCCACTGATGAAGCCTTGACCGGCGAAACGTCTGGAAAATAAAATATTTTTAACATCTTTTTATTCCAATTTTATGCCTGAAGAAATTCTTTTTAACCTTTTCAAATATTCACCGGGAATGTTACCTACAACCCCTTCATATATATATATATATATATATATATATATATATATAGTAGATAATAAAATGCTCAACACTAATATTATTGTAGAGCAAGATATATTTATATCTTAAAATTAATTATTGCTACTTAATTTTCACGCCTTATTCAAGACGATCTTCAGGCAACTAATTCAGTTTGTGTTTGATTCGTCAGCATCAACGGTCGCTTTTCGTTATGACAGCACTTCGCATAAAACTCTGATCGCGTGTTCAGTGAATTGTTCCCATTCGCTTTCAGGATGCATATATAGCTTCTCTTCCAAACAGAGGCCACATCGCTTTCCACCAGGTGTATACGCAGCTCTTTTCAAGATGGACCACTTCACCACTTGATGTTATAATTTCTGCTACTTTACTTCAGACTCCAAACATACTTGGAATGCTTTATATCAGACGAATGGTTGAAGAGATTGAACGACGTTTTGTGGTTGACGTATCTTTCCTTGAATGGGTTGGCCGTCATTCCAATATATTCTTTTGTATTTCTGTCATCAGTTGTTGTCACCGTGGCTTTATAGACGATGTTATCTACTTTGCACTTCCCGTCTAGTGTGCATTCGTCTGGTTATTTGTAGTTGAATTGGGCAGGTTTTTGCGTAGAGTTTCTCTTTAACAGGCCATGGTTATGTCGGGATATAATTCTTTTGACATTCTCCATGCAGGAGTAGCTAACTTTGATTGTGTTGCGGTTAAAGACCTAATGAAGGGGTTAGTAGAAAGGAAATGTTTATCAATCAATTGTAGGAAATTTCGACCGACGTTAGTTCGAACTGTTACGCTGAAGGGTAGATTTAACCAAATGATGTTTCTACGACGTCTTCGGTTGGTAGATGGCAAACTGGAGGAATTATCACAGGCCGAGAGGTACATCGTAGTTACTGCGCTTAAGCTTATCTTCGTAAAATGGTGCAGCAGAATCAAAGGATGCTTGACCGGAATAAAGTGAGGAGATGCGTTTGTTGATTGAGGAAGGGATATGGTTGATGATAGAAGGTGGGTGGTTAGATCTATTGTCGACGTAGAGTGGTCATTGTTTGGTTTCTTAAAAGGTGAAAATGTTTCGTTTTCAAGCCCAATGTCAGATCTAGGAAGTTGACAACATGATGGTTCACATCTGCTGTTATCTTGAAACCGATGTTATTAAAGATAGCCTGTAGTTCTTTCCTCGCTTTATCGGCTGATCTGGCTCGTTTAGCTTTCAAAATTGCCAACCTATTATCTCTGTACAAACCAACATGATTCTTTCCGGACTTCGCCTCAAGTTTACTCAGGATGAATAATCCGACTAGTTCGCAAATTTCTGCCCCATCGTAGCTGCCCATTGTAACATCGAACTTCGTTTCGTTATTTCTTTTAACCCATGTTTTATCTTGGTGAAAAAGTAAGGACTTGCGTGGGTGTTTGATGACAGCTACATGATCATCAGAGATTGGTGTAATGGCTTTAGCCCAGCTAATAACTTTGTCGAGGAGCACTTCGGTAATTGAAGGATAAAAATCAACAATGTCAAATGACAGAAACATGTGGTTAGGTTTATTATTAACAGATTACGCAAGCAAATACCAATATACCATATAGATAGAGCGTAATATAGTTTTACGTTTTACCTCAAAAACCCACAACAGCCTGTTTGCCATGAGGTCGATCATAAAGGCCGCAACACTTCCCTCATCCGGTTGATTTTCTCTTGGATAAGTCAATGGCAATCTACATCTCTTTCTTAGCACATCCATGAGTTTACTTTTAGCAGTTTTCTGAGGTGTGCCATCAGGGCATGCCAAGCTAAGCGGGACAGAACAAAGTGGTTATTCTAAAGCATTTTCAAAGTTGATAACTTTTTCTGTCTTGTCTGTCAAAGCAAGAAGGGTACCCAAAATGTATCTGTTGACTTCTACTGTTTTCACGACAGTACTTCTCGTCAACGACACCTTCTTAGAGGATGCCTTAATAACACTAACTTCCTCTTCTTAATGGGATCATGGAAAAGTATTTCTTTCTTCAGTATTCTATTAGTGATGTATGTTTCAAACAACGATCTCCTTCTATTCTATTATTCAACATTTCTTCGCTGATATCCTCTTCAATCGGTGTACCCGAGCTTAAGTGGTAAAGAAAACTGGTATCTAGTTCCTCATTGAATGGGTTTAAATATTCCTTGCGTAACGTGTCGAAAACGCTGGTAGTATAGGACTCCGGCTTCGGGATCTCGGATGGTCGTAATAACTTATATACTTCATTTTAGAGACTTATGCCCCCCATTCCAAAAGGTTTTGCCTTGTTTTTGGCTTCTTGCATGTGAACAATTCAGCGTCCACTGACACTTTGACACTCCATTAGATCCATGTAAAACTGTATGCAAAGTTGCGCAGCTTTCCATAACACACCATTTCTTGCTTCCTATTTGAAAGCTTTGTATTCTGGATACAACGGTGAAGCATTTTCAGTAAGACAGCACAGCTTGCTATTGGATCAATACATGCATCATAGAAGTAATCTGGAATGGCGATCCTATTTTCTTTCAAAAACCTCTGGAACAAAAGCCTCTCCAGAGATTCTGAAAACGCAAAATGAACAATCCATGCCCTATTGTAGTGTGATCCTGAGAGAACACCTTTCAAACTTCCAGACGAGCATACACCTACTTGACATACGACATCTTCAAAGCCCGACGCTTCAACAAGCCCACCAACGACCCCAAAATTTTCTGTAATGAAATGAAAATCTCCCAAATGGATGACAACATTGTTAAATTTCAACGGAAACTTCCTGATGAATTAACTAGTAGGCATTCATTGCAGCACCGAGATTCAAACATACGTTGACGTAAGGTATGTATGTTTACTTCATTTTCTATCTTCTGCAGTACGTAAGGTACTGATTGATGGTACTGAATTATGTGACCTTATCGTTGATTGGTTGCAAGTATGTTGTCAAAGTCTTATTAAATGTATTGTTTTCCCCAGCTATTCGGTTTTGCATTTCCCAAGCAAATTAAGATGTTACGTTTTGATCACGAAAATTAATCAGTCAAAGGATCATCACGTCAGGAAACGTTCCGCAGACAGTATCTGGCTTTTCACTATTTCATCAGCTGAATAATTAACAAAACTGGGAGGCTCTTTCTTTGGATTAACTTGCATTTCTTCACCTTCCATATTACTTTGTTCAATCGAGTATTTTCCTGTTCTTGCGAATTTAATCTTCGATGTTCCTCTTTCCATCGTGAATTGTGACTCTTCTTTGAATGCAATCATGTGTGTAGAATTTATAGCGCCATGACCAGTTTCTATCTCAAGATTCATATCGAAGTTATCTGCCCAAAAAGCATCGACACCGCATGTTCTTCGGTTGCTGGACTTAAAGGCAATGTACCATGTGTTTCAGAGACCTTTTGATTGGTTTGTGCATGAGCCGTTTCAATCTCACATACCATATTATGGTCTATTGAGTGTTCTAACCGGTGGCCATGGAGTAGTTGAATTGGATTCTTTTGCCCTGTAATGCTGTTTAAACGTAGCGCATGCCTAAATTTAGACTTTCACAAATTTTTATGTATAATTATCACATGAAATAGAAAAGACAAAGTAGCAAAGAATCTCAGTTAAAATTTCAAACTGCATTTGAACACCAGCACTAGGCAATAGATAAAAGTTTGCTTAAGCGTATTGATTATATAATATCTAATTTATTAAGTAACATTGTCAATGCTTATATGGCACATGCATGCTAGTCCCATGCCTAAATATAAATACCAAAACAATTAATAAGCTTATCAAGTCGCTCTGACATAGTCTCAAAAATCATAAACAAGCATAAGATATAGCACACTATATACACTCCTTTCATCGAGAATTCGGCAAAACATTTCAAGCTTGATTAACAATCTTTATATTCCAGCATGCAACATGTACAATGCACGTGGAAAAGATGAAGTCGGGATTCCGGATAATTCAATTTAATTTTTGAAGCCTTATGCAATTCAGCATTTAAACATATTATGTTGAAATAGTTCAACATGGGAAATGAGTTAACCAGTCTTTTTTCTAGGCAAGGATTAAAATCAGGTTAGTACGCACCACCCCCGGTCAAATAGATCCAAAATGTTTCATTCCGTGTTTAACAACACATGCATAACTTCCGCAAGCAATGGAAACTTTATTCTAAAATAATTTATAGGTAATGAAGGTTGTGGTAATAACATATCACAAATTTCAGTTCATTAATACGATCCGATTTAAAGTGGTCGGTCGACAGTTCCGAATACGATCCGATTTAAAGTGGTCGGTCGAGATTGCAGTTTTCACTTAAACATTCTTCCAATTTTCGAACATTTGCGCAAATGCTGGTTGCCTATCTGAAATCAGTATCATGAGCCTAGTCTGCAATCTTCGAGTTTCGTAAAATGCCTTTTATATTTCGTTGTTTTATCGCGAGTTGAATCACCTTTAAATTTGTATTGAACCCATTCAAAATCTTTATTCTAGTTCCGAAAAAATTTCAAAACTCGGACAATGGCTTTGCATTCAATTCTCAACGGTGGAAAAAGACGATTTTAAACCGTATTTTATTTGGCCATATTTGATCGCATTGATACAAAAATGGTGTCATTATATTTATATTTGACAGCCAAAGCCAGAGTAGGATTACTTTTTTATACACTTTGTATAATTGAATGGGTTGAAACAAACCTGGTGTACTTGATGATCAGCGTTGCGGAACCACATTCTGGCCAAAAGCCAATCGTATTGACCGTCGTCAGGAGTCCATATTGGGTTGCTCTCACTGGGTTGTTGGTAGAGCTGAATAGCGATCGGTACCAGGTCTCCAGAACGTTTCACATAAAATAAACAAAGAGGCACTGCTGCGTAACATAGATTAGAATTACCATCCTCGCCATTTCGTTTGATTCCCTCCAATTCCTTGTAATCAACAATGTAAACATGTCCTTCCTTAATTAGAAAACAAATTTTTAAGTTTCAATAGTATTTTAAATAATTTCGTTTGCTCAACTTCTCCTGACCAGTCAGGTCTGAACATCTGTGTAATTTTCTTCCGAAATTTCTGTCTTCAAATTAAAAACCCATAAGTGAGATGCCCAAAATTCTGATTGGTACTTCGTCTTGGATTGCGACTATTTTTCGGAAATGAAATATCGATATTTAAACTCTATTCCTTGCACTGTTCGCTATTTGACAATTAGTCGCCGAAGGCGAGGTGATTAGAATCCTATATTCACTGAGCTGAAGACGATATAGTGAATGTAGGTTTGTCAATCACCAAGCCTGCATGAGGCAACTAACAGACAACTTGCATGTTAGACTAATTTTTAATTATAATGTAGGCAATAAAAGTAAATTCTTATAAAGAACTTATTAACATTAGTAAAATTGCAAAACTTGGTTACGAAATGTTGTACAGCTTGGAAAATATAGCCTTGCGAAGTTTCCATATTTTGTATATGTTTGCATTACGTGCGGAAATTGTTACCATTTTTGAGCCAAAAATGGTAACAATTCCGCACGTAGACGTAGTACAAACATATAGAAAAATTGCAAACTTTGCAAGACTATATTTTCCAAGCTTTACAACATTTCGCAACCAAATTTTGCAATTTTACTAATTTTATTATTTTATAACTGTGGTGTTTGATTCTCTTCGCAAGTACTACATTGTTTTAATATAATTTCACTTATTGAAAAAGTTTTATTTATAAATGCAAATAATACACGTGCATGTGTTTATTTAATGAATTTAATTTTCAGATTTACTTCCGTTTTATTTTCAGCCATTTTTGCGGGTAAAGCAATAGTTACTGCTCAGAGCAGTTTGAGCAGTAACTATTGCCTCAGAGGTACTGCTGAGAGAGCCAATCAGAATGCTCAAAGGCCATTTTCCAATACAGAAATTACACTAAATTTCAATAGTTTTAATCACAGAATATTAAGTAATGATGGGTTAATTTTAATGCCATGGGTCCAAATAACAGTCTCCACCATATTTGAGAGATGACAGGCGAAAATAATGTTGAACTTTTAAATAAAAAAATGAATAGCAAACGAAGTTCTACAGCTTGCTTTATCTCATTTGGCTATACTAAATTTTAAGCATTGATTCTAAAAGAGGAAGTTAGAATTACTAAAGCAAAAACGACCGGCTGGTATTCGAATTCGAGGGCTCGAACTATCAGCATCGCCTAATTTGTACGCATGAATTGATGGATTGGTATCAAGACACGCTTAGCTTAGCCTATATATTCACCAGAATGTATACCACAGTGACCTTTGTTTCCATTCTCATCCAACACGTGTTTTGTTTATTTAAAAATCAAAGCCCGTTCGTCGAGCCGATTTCGCCCGAGCTTCGCGCGAGGACAAAATTGTCACTGAAATTAAACCTACCTTAATTTCTTCAGTTAATGTCATGTCTCGATCAAGAAATTTTTTAACCATATCGTGCGTAACAGGAAAATTTTTTGGCAGTTGACTGCAACGTTCAATGACGCACGGATTACAGCCATTTAGGAATTGAAAGCCAAATACTTCATCCTTCATCCACATGTCATCTCGAGCTATTTGAGGTACATCGCCTGTCCAACCGGTGTAGATTTTCGTGAAGCTCTCAAAATTACTCCAGCTGTCAAAGAGAGTGTAGAGGCACGACAGAGCAAGGTTTATTCCTCCGAACACTCGGCCACGATTAAACGCACGTGTAGCATCTTCAGAAAATTGTGAATCGCGAGGAATATCATCGTGCGTTGCGGCATGAAGAAAGCCTGGCAAATCAGTTACGCCATTTGGAAGTTGTCCCCAAAGGTACTTCGCTTTGCGTTCTTGCAGCTCGAGAATTCGCTCCCCTCTTACGATTTCTGGCTGGTCTTGAAATGGAAGTAGAGCTAAATCGTAGATTCAAGTAAATATTATAAAAAAGTTGTAACATGTATCAGATCATCAAAGAACCAGTCATGAATTAAAGATTATTTTATCAATCATGACACTTCAAATTCAAATTGTCCAATTAGAAAGCTAGGTTTGTACCACATGAGCACGAAAGGTATTTTGGTCAAATTTTGCGTGCGGCGTCATATTTCAAACTGAGGCTAAAATACGTGAAAATTCACCTAAAATACATGGCTATACCTAACGGGGAATAAATCATGCTGGTTTGGTCTAAATTGGGCTTAGAATTTGGTCTAAATTGGGCTTGACCATATACATATGTAAAATCGCGCAATAGAAATATTAAATATTATTGATATATTAAATATTGTTGCGAAAAATGAAACTATATAAACTATTATATAATTAAAAAAAAATTACGGTCTTGGTAAAGTTTTAAACCAACAATGTGCTCAGTATATGTACAAAAAATAGATTTGTGGTAGTTTGAGCTAACAAGGAAGTCAGTAAAATAATAACATTAATCCTGTTTCGACAGTCATAAAACCTATATAAGCCACACATTAACCTGTGGCAAACAAATCATCGGCTAGTCGAAATATAGTATCTTAGATTTTTCTGACTTAACGTAGTTAAATTCGATCGAGACACACCGGACGCGATTCGATGACGAAGCGCAATTTTTCGATTTTCACTGATCGATATGATAACTTAATTGATCCTGGTTTAAGTTTTTTCAAACTATAGAAGCGCTGTGCATTTTGAATTTCAGCCAATGACAGCGAAAAGGCTCAAATTTCAGCCATGATATCTTCTAAGAATCAACTCCGATTTTAACTATTCTTTTAAAATATAATTACAGTAATCTTAGCGATGATATCGAACGAGTGCAACAAAGAGTACTTTCTATCATCAACCCTGGTTGTGGCTACACGGACTGCTTAAGCTATAACAATTTACAAACCCTTGTATTAAACTGTTTAAGAGCATCGAGAGCAGCCCGGATCAAAAACTTCATCATCTACTTCCAACAAGAATGGTACAGAATCATTGTTTGAGAAACCATCGTGAATTTATCATACCCAACATGAATACAAACAGATTTTTAAACATTTATATGTACTATCTTCTGCAACTGAAATGAATAGGTCACAAAAGTAGAGTTACATAGCCATCATTATTAGAGCGACAATCTTTCAGTTCTTTTACTGTTTTTTTAGAGTAACATTATATGTAGTTTTGAAACGTTTTACAATGTTCCAATTTTTAAATTTCTTTTTATATTACAATATAAATACTATAATTCTTATTGATATGTTATTATAATTAAATTGAATAATTAAATGTGTAAATTACATAAATCAGCCATGTGTCATGGCTGCGATGTAATTTTTAATAAACCTATCTATCAATCTAAACTTGAAATAAGTTGTAGGCAGTAAGTCGACAAAAGATATTCATATTTGAAACATTGTCAAGTTCGAAACTTGATAAAACAGTCCCCCAAACTGCTAAAAATAGCACACGAGACCATTGTACTATATCATGCATGGATAGCTGGGAGTCCAAATATGTATTCAGATACTAAGCAAACTACATTTGACTGGACTTTTTCGCTCTGTCTAGAAATCCTAGTTAATTTCGCTTTGCAACTTCCCCGCCCAATATTCCAAGCGTAATTGGAATAAATTTACGACAAACTTGGGAACCGCGCTTTGAAAAATTCCCTGAAATCGACAATACATTTTCTCGTTTGAAAAATATCAGTGACATAATCTGGTCAATTCATCAAGGGCAGTCCGGGAGTTGTCAAGGCCAAACCGTTGGACTTGTTTTTTTATTATCGGAAACAAATTCTTGAACGAAACGAATTCCACTGGAATGTGAACTATTTATGTCTGTCGAGCCGATACAGTAGTTCAAAATATTCCGTCGGGTTCAAGTTGATCGTAGTTCATAGAAATCTTTAAAATTTTGATCCATACATTTTATATGAAGAGAACAGACAAGCAAGTACGTGTCCCGCGCCAAACATCTTCCGTGTGGTTGGCCGAACATATTCGTGCCCGACCGAACATCAATGTAGTAAAATGCTCATTTTTGGAGTTACTTTTATTATCGGAGGTACCCTTTCAGCTAGTAATTCCTGTAATAACCCTTTCAGAAAGCACGTCGCCTTAGCTATATAGTCTCGTTTTCGTGTTTGAGATGCGACGTACTTATGGAAGGGTGTATGAAATTAGTACTTGAATGTCCCAAATTGGCTTGCATTAATTAGTAATACCTTTTCCTTGGAAGGCAACCATCTTTGATATCAGCCAACGGTAACACGGGAATTCAAAGGATTCTTCTTGCTTTGAACTAATTACAGTGATCTTGTTGACAAACCAATCAGGGTCCTTATACAAAGGACCGTTGTTGAATAGATTAATAACAAGGACCTCTCCAACATCCATTGCCTGCAATGTATACTCGTAAGTGGACCCGTCTTTATCAAAACAGGAACTAAATGGAAACGTCTCAGTTTTTCCTTTGGAGCCTGAAAAGTAACGTCAATACAAACAATTTGAATTGGACAAACAATATTCAATTTGTTTGAACTTTTTACGAATATTGATACCATCGTGGAGACGTACGTGTGACCTCTTCATATATAGATCCTCTAATTCTTGAAATTACTATACTACAGCGCGAGATAGTATAAAATGTATTTCAGAAAATATGCTCCGTGTTCTTTTTTTAATTGCATGAAAACAATTGAATTTAAAAAAGCGAGTAATGAAATGCTAAATTAGTGCGAGGTTTTTCGATGCTTCGCCATTTTGCGAGGTGTGTTGTTTTAAGTCGTTGTCGGAAACTGTGTTGTTTTTATCGTATTTGGTTTAATTATTAATTAGGGTTAACTATTTAGGGACATTAGAATATTTAGTTTGATTGACATTTAATTATCACGTGGTAGATTTGAGCGGGATATAGAGTGTTGTTGACCTCCGAGTGCGAAGGAGTGATCAAATTTCGAACTGTGACTGTGATTTTAATATAAAGTTTATTTACCAATTCTTTTGTGTATTTTATTTTGTGATCGTGTGGGACTTCTTGAAAGGATCGAACCCCTTTTCCCACATCGTTAGAAAGAGTTCGATAAACTAGCGTTCTCGGAAGACTGGTCGTTGTTTTCTTAACTATTTCTGCACACTTGTCGTTATCAATACTAACTGACGTTTTTACGAGGCTGTCTCCGTAAAAACCTCCAGGTTAATATGGGGCTCAAAAATAGATTTCTCTCATACTCTAGTATTTTGAAGATCTATCCTTGGGAACAACTAAAATCGATGTCATTTTACTCAAGTTTCCTTTAAATTATTTTTGGGGGCGATTGATGTTCGATCGACTGGTAACTAACTTGATACTCCGAATGAAGGCCAAATATCGACATATTTTCAGCGCTATTTTTCAAATCAAATTCATACCTAAATTTCAAAATTTTTGCTCAGAAATATAGACTTATCCTTCTATTTTCGTCGGTGATACAACTTAGATCATTATTCTTTGGTATAAAATTAAATAGAAAACAGCGCAGTTATTGACTCTCCCGAACGGATAAAGGATATCGTCTCAAAATATGTCAACTTCGAAAGCTTATTTCAAAATCGTGGCACTTGATTGGCACATGACTTTAACTTTTCTATAAACTACTAACATTAGTCAACACAAATCGCCAATAATATCTTTCTGCTCTACCATTTGACAAAAATGACAAGCGCCCAAACTTTGTAAAATTTGAAAATGTGTCGAAATCGAGCATACTTTATTGGTAAACATAATGATATTAACAGATAAAATCACCTTACACTACACTGAATGAAGCTTCATTATGTAAATACATGTCTTTCATCATTATTCTTTGGTTTGGCGCTTGAATCAAATTGTTTGAGTACAGTTTGGCTTCACGGATAGAGTCATTCAATGCCAGTGTGTCCAGTGTCTTCTGCGCGCCTCAATGCCACGAGTCCTGATTGTGACATACTATACAATCTTCGCCCTGTTCGCTTTGTTTACCTCTTTAATAAATACATGTTATCAAATAACAATATTCAATGAAATTGGAAAACTCAGAATTAGTCATACTACAGACAGAATTTTCATCGTTTTTAAACTGTTTTATAAAAGTTTCATTAGAATGTACGAATTAAATCTCGGGGAAAACCCCGGGCAATGATGTCAAATGTCAATATTTCGTTAGTTTCGCTCAGTATAGTTTTCTAGCAACTGAATTGTCTCTAGGTTTAGAAACAATTATCAATGAAACTAGAATTCAAGTAAGTCACGGTTCTGTATAAAAAAATCAACTTTTTCAGGCCGACCCTGGGTCACTTTGCTCAAGGCTATGCTTCAAGAATTTACATTATTTCTTATTGTATAAAAATATGCGAATATTTTGATATAATACAAAACAATTCAGCGCAAACAGCTGTAACCCATTTGAACGTCTCAGTTATTTAATCAATGTTATTCCTTTTTTCAGTAACAATTAGAAAGGTTCTGAAAATTAGAATTAATTTATATTCTTCTTTCCGACAAGCTTTAAAGGGTGACAAATTTGCAAGTGATAACTAATGTCATTCTTACACGCCAGCAACTTCGAAGAACAGTCTACTGTGTCTCGGAATTTTCCACACTCAGAAGTAGAAAAGGAACATTTCTACATTATTGTTTACCGTCATTCTCATCTGTCAACATAAAATCTACTGTCTGTCGAAATCGTTTAAGGCCCTGTCACACTATTGCGTATCGTACTAGCGTATGCCAGCGTATGAAAAATATCGCTCATACGCCGGTATACGCTGACATACGCTAGGGGTACGCTAGGCATAGGTTGTATACGTTTCAAGCACGGTCGCATACGGTGGCATACGGCGAGGCAGAAAATTTTTTTAAGCATGTTCAAAAATTTTGTGCGTATCGGACGTATGCTTTATACGATAAGCATACTCTAGGCACACGCTCAATACGCTAGAGGTACGCCAGATGTACGGTACTCATACGCTGGCATTGCAAAGGATTTTTGTGCGTATGAAAATTATTTCATTGATTTTCATACGCTTCTCTCATACGCATTAGTGTGACAGGGCCTTTAGGTTTACCTAAAGGCCCTGTCACACTATTGCGTATCGTACTAGCGTATGCCAGCGTATGAAAAATATCACTCATACGCCGGTATACGCTGACATACGATAGGGGTACGCTAGGCATAGGTTATATACGTTTCAAGCACGGTCGCATACGGTTGCATACGCTGGCATACGCCGAGGCAGAAATTTTTTTTTAAGCATGTTCAAAAATTTTGTGCGTATTGGACGTATGCTTTATAAGATAAGCATACTTTAGGCACACGCTGAATACGCTAGAGGTACGCCAGATGTACGGTACTCATACGCTGGCATTTCAAAGGATTTTTGTGCGTATGAAAATGGTTTCATTAATTTTCATACGGTTCTCATACGTTTCTCTCATACGCAATAGTGTGACAGGGCCTTAACGTTGCATGATCACAAATTGCGGCTGTAGTAGAAGTAGAACATCATTATTGTAAACACAAAAACCTCGTGCAATACTGTCTAAGACTACTATTTAATTCAATACAAAGAAAGGGAAATCAGAGAGCAACGAAACATTTCATCGTCATTTGATTCACATGTTTACGCTCAGCGAGTACATTTCTTTCGGTTAGGAGTTTTCCCCGAGATTAATTCGTACATTCTATAAAACGAAACTTTATATAACAGTTTAAGGTAAACAAACCAATGAAAGTTGTGTCTGTAGTATGACTAATTCTGAATTTTCTAATTTCTTTGAGACATTTTATTTACAGGAGGTAAGGGACGGACCATTTGATTTTTCATGGGGGGGGGGGCGCATTTTTGAGAGTGCTCGATTTTTTTTTGACCTCACCGACTCCGCACGATTTTTTTATCGAATCTTCCCGCGTGCACGATATTTTTTAAAATTTTTACTATAGCGTTAATTCAATAATAACCACGTATGGTTATATTCCGGTTGAAGAATGTATTTGAATATACAGCATATAACCACAAAATAGGAAAGTATAGCAGAAGTGTAACCCACGAAAATTTTAACTCGCTCACGCCATCCTGGCTAGTACAGCCGGAAGTTTTTATCAGGTTTTGATAGGTACAAAGTGCCGGTTGTACTAGCCAGGATGGCGTGATTGATGATCGGACGAATCGCTTGTAAAAACGCGGACAAATACTTGCTTGAGTGAGACTTCTGGTATACCTTCCTATTCTATGATATAACTATCACAGCCCATTTTATACTTGGCCAATTTTATACTTGGTCCATTTTATACGGGGCTATGGTCTACGAAATGTAGACCATAGCCCCAATCAAAATTGGATCAAGTGTATTAAAGTGTGTAACCCATTTTGCATTGGCGTCTATATACAAATTCTCACGGTTCCCCAATCGTATCAGTGTTCCCAATACGTATTATAAACTGCGATTTTTATTCAGAATCAGAGAGCGATATTAATGAACCGGGTAGGAAATGGTATTTTTGTGACCCGTGAATGCGTAGCCAGACTATAATTTTTGGGAGGGCATATATCGAACGCCGAAGGCGTAAGCCTTTTTAGGGTGGTCCGGGGGCATTCTTCCCCTGGAAAATTTTGAAATCTGGAGTCCCTCTATGGCGATTTCCCGTGTTTCTGGGGAGAGATTTTGCATAATTCTGAAGATTATTTACTGCAGGAAAGACCTGATTTTTAATGATTTCTCAATAATGTGGATCCTTAATTTGACTCAACGAAGCTTACTTGGTCGTGTGTGAATAGTTAAATCGAAGTTTTAAAACGCATTTTAACCAATAACCACCATAGGCATTATTTTCTGTAGTTAGATTTAGGAAAGATTAGAACTTTTATAGACAATTTGGTGAACAGATGAGATTGGTAGTCACATGGGTAGTCATTGTCCCCCCCCCCTGTGAATTGTGAAACGGCAGTTTTTTGTTGTGAAACGTGAATCATACCCCCCCCCTTTCCCACCCTCATTAATCGATGTCGTATTTACAGAAGTGTGGGACTTTCAGTGTTAAGATTGGGGTTTTTAGGGATACCACTAAGGTAATTTGTGGATAATTGAATTATTGAAGTCAAAGTTGTCAGAACTGGTTTGTATTTTGCATGTATACTTCCGGTATTGTTAACCAATTAGGCAGAACCGAAACACTCAACAGAAAAAAACTAAGGGAAACTGAATTTTTCTTTCAATATAGAGTATTGCTAATTTAGAATTTTTTTGTGCTCGATATTTTTTTTTGCTGGTGTTAGTGATGCTCGATTTTTTTTTCTTCCATTCGAGACATGCTCGATATTTTTTTTCGGATTTGCTCCCCCCCCCCCCATGAAAAATCAAATGGTCCGTCCCTAAACAAAGCGAACAGAGCGAAGTTCGTATGTCACAATCAGGACTGATGCCGTCATGGCATTGAGGCGCGCAGAATTTGAACACACTGGACACACTGGCATTGAATGACTATCCTTGAAGCCAAACTGTACAGTCAAACAATTTCATTCGAGTGCAAAACCAAAGCATAATGATGAAAGACATATATTTACATAATCAAGCTTCATTCAGTGTAGTGTAAGGTGGTTTTATTTGTTAATATCAAGAATTATGTTTACCAATAAAGTATGCTCGATTTCGACACATTCTCAAATTTTACAAAGTTTGCGCGCTTGTCATTTTTGTCAAATGGTAGAGCAGAAAGATATTATTGGCGATTTGTGTTGACTAATGTTAGTAGTTTATAGAAAAGTTAAAGTCATGTGCCAATCAAGTGCCACGATTTTGAAATAAGCTTTCGAAGTTGACATATTTTGAGACGATATCCTTTATCCGCGCGTTCAGGAGGGTCAATAACTGCGCTGTTTTCTATTTTATACCAAAGAATAATGATCTAAGTCATATCACCCGCGAAAATAGAAGGATAAGTCTATATTTCTGAGCAAAAATTTTGAAATTTAGGTATGAATTTGATTTAAAAAATAGCGCAGAAAATATGTCGATATTTGGCCTTCATTCGGAGTATCAAGTTGGTTACCAGTCGATCGAACATCAATCGCCCCCAAAAATAATTTAAAGGAAATTTGAGAAAATGACATCGATTTTAGTTGTTCCCAAGGATAGATCTTCAAAATACTAGAGTATGAGAGAAATCTATTTTTGAGCCCCATACTGACCTGGAGGTTTTTACGGAGACAGCCTCTTACATGTTTAGTTTTCATTATAAAATGTATAATTATGGTTGAAAAGGCAAGGAAGCCGCTTCCAAAAGTGCTGATTTAACTCCTGAAATGGATTAAGAAAATTTTAACCCCATGCAATAGGGTTACATTTTACCTCCAAAATGAGGGTTAATGTTTAACCCCAAAAACCGGGGCTATATTTCAACTCCAAAAACGGATAATTGCGTTCTTGCAGCACGAGAATTCGCTCCCCTCTTACGATTTCTGGCTGGTCTTGAAATGGAAGTAGAGCTAAATCGTAGATTCAAGTAAATATTATAAAAAAGTTGTAACATGTATCAGATCATCAAAGAACCAGTCATGAATTAAAGATTATTTTATCAATCATGACATTTCAAATTCAAATTGTCCAATTAGAAAGCTAGGTTTGTACCACATGAGCACGAAAGGTATTTTGGTCAGATTTTGCGTGCGGCGTCATATTTCAAACTGAGGCTAAAATACGTGAAAATTCACCTAAAATACATGGCTATACCGAACGGGGAATAAATCATGCTGGTTTGGTCTAAATAGGGCTTAGAATTTGGTCTATATTTCAACTCCAAAAACGGATAATTTCGAACTTTTTTGCTGACACCCTTTTTCTTTAAAATAACAGTACACGAAATGGCAATACATCGGGAACCATCCAGGCCGATAAATGAATTAAAGATGCGTTATATATATATAACCATGTAGACACTTTATATGGAGCAAATTGTCAAATAATAACACGCTCGATATATATTGAAACTGGTTTAATGATTTAATGAGATTCGGCAGCTTGATCGAGCTCGGAAAGTTACGCCACAATTCCGGGCCGTAATTATAGACGCGATAATTTTTTTGGGGGTGGGTGAATATTCATATAATCATACATGTTCACATACCGTAAAAACAATCGCTTTCAAAAGAAATCCGTCGGGCAGAACACGAGTATATGAATATTCAACCCCCAATTATCGCGTCTAGTTACGGCCCTGCCACAATTACATCAAAGTTACACGCACTAATATGGCAAACGAAATGGAATAGTAGACCAATGATGACAGTAGCAACAGATAACTAACCAGGTGTGGATTGACTACAAAACTTTTGTAGTTCCCTACAACTAAAGCTGGCCTCGAACACTGGCATTGCATGGTATGAATGAAATTCTCCACAAAGGTCTAAATTCTCCTAGGGTATAGTTGTTCAGTAATGTCGCATTTCACGACTTGTGAATTCGTCAGTCGTGATTCACGAATCGTGCATTTGATATTTGATAATATATCAATAACAATAGTATAATCTAATTAGCACCAACCAATCAAATGACAGATTAAAAAAATCTTTTGTCTCATAGATCAATCAGATTTAGAACCGAAATACGGTTGTAAGGCATGGAAGGCCTATTTTTTATTTATTTATTTATAGGCCTGATCGCAGGTTATATTTTATTGGGCGGTGCAACTGAAAATTTGCCGAGTCATTTCCTCGACGTATACCAAAAAATTTGAGAACCCGAAACCTTTATCAGTGTTTAAGAGTATAAATCATCCTGATCCCATGCATTCTCCCACAATAATTTGGCGTGTATTCAGTTTATTTTCCAGCTCCTTTTAACTTCATGTGGGCTTGGATCGTTAACTTCCATAATCAAGCGGATAACAGATTTCCATATCCAAATAATCTTACTTATTTTTTATCAGTAAGAATGAAGCAATCTGATTGACTGAGGAGCCTTTCAGAGCGGGCCGGTTTTTTGCATCCGGCCCGCTCTGAAATGCACCTGCCCGCTGTGAAATGCAACTGCCCGCTCTGGTTTTCGCGGCAAAAAATGAGGAGTGAAACAATTTTTAGACGAAAAAATATGAAACGTTTCAAAAACGTAGCCTAAAGGCTGATTTCCACTGTTGCGTTTTTCATACGCACGTATACGCACGTAAAACTTTAAATCCGTTTAAATGTTACTTGTAAAATAACCAAATAAATAAAGCAACAGAATTAAATGTTCCGCAAGTTTTAGTATGCATTTGTTAACTTATTTGTAAAATATTTAAAAAATAGAAGGATTCAAAGTTTTACGTGCGTGTACGTGCGTACGAAAAACGCAACAGTGGAAATCAGCCTTTTAAGGCTAAAGGCTGCATTCCAGTTACTCGTTTTTCATACATGCGTACACGCACGCTTAAAATTTCATATAAGTGCAAATAACCTTATTACAAATACACATTTAAAAAATACACAAAACTGAATGCTGTCCTTTTATAAATTTAGTTATTCATAAGTAGGATGTAAAGCGAATTCAACTTTTACGTGCGTGTACGCACGTACGAAAAACTCGTAACTGGAATGCAGCCTTATTAAATCATTCTCCCTATGTAAAGGAATCCGGATTCCGGAATCCAACAAAAATTTGCACGTCAGAATCCGGAATCCATGACGTGGAATCCGGAATCCATTGACTCGGATCCGGAATCCATTATTTTAATCATGGAATACGGAATCCAGCTTTCATACTTTATAAAATATAATGGTTTTGTAGCGTGACACATCAAACCCTCTGCATCAAACCTTAACGTACGTGATCTCATTAAATTCATGCAATACAAGTATCCCCGCCTTATAAAATTTACATGAAGTGGTGTTATTGAGAACAAACAAACTAACTCTGAATTATGCACTTGGGCGCGACAGGAGCGCGCAAATTTGTTGACTACCTCGCCGAAATATTTGAATCTTTAGTCGAATTACTGGTGCGTTTGAAACACTGATCGTTTTCTACTATTTTTGCCAAGATATTGAGTCGAATTGAAACGTATTTATAAAATATTATTCAAGGAAAAAGTTAGGAAATGGGAAAAAAGCACAAGAAACAAAGTAGAGAGAAAAGTGATGACCGGAATAGCCGAGTATTGAGGGTGGGAAAGGGTCATTTTCGTGAGTCGTGAATGGTCAATATTTGTTCGTGCGAAATGCTTGTCTTTAGTGTGGTGAAATGTGATTTGTTCTATAGCTGTGAGGCGTGATTGTCGATAAAAATGCTCCGTGAAATGAGAATTAAGGATGTCTGTTTTGTGAACTGTGATTTTACTTTGTTTATTTCAATCTATTTTATAATAGTCATAATAGACATAATATGCGATAATAATTGATAGGACCGATCTCACTCGATTGCACAAGAGCAAAAATTTCTCAGGCCTTTTGGAGGTCGTCGCACATACACGTCACTGAAACATGTAAGTTATAATGCAGTTTTTAACTGCCAGGCAGAGAAGTGAGATAACTTAAAGCGTAGATGCTGTACCATGCATTAACCATACTATTAATAAACCTAAGTATTATTATTATATTATTTTTATTAGAATTTCCGTGAAATGTGAAATTGCTTTTTTAAGATACGTGAATTAGTGAAACGGCTTTTGTTTTCATTGTGAAACGTGACCCATACCCAACCCCCCCCCCCCATTTTCCACCCTCAGTATCGTCCCTTTTATATCCCTTTGAGATTTAAATATCATAAATATTTAGCGTTGCCGTTGTTCAATTCTCAGGTATAATTTAATAGTATATACAGTGAAATATAAATAACCGATCATTGTTATTTTTCATCTTTAATATGAAGCTATAGAGGTGAATTATAAACTCTATGAGGCTGGTATATGGAAGTACATATTTAAACATGTAGAATACTAGAATTATTAAAAAGCCTGCAAAAGGAGTGTACTCAGTACCAAGGAGTTTCAAAAGTGCTTGTTATGGATAAGGATCTGGAAGGATCATTGTCCGTTCAGCAGTATAGGGCTGATTCCACTCCAATAAGAAATGGCTAAAGACGCAAATCCGTTTAGGCTTGATAAAAAGGCAAAACAGTAGAAGTTACCCATAATAAACAACGACCACCTGAGAATTGTGCAGGAAGTTGTTGCCTTCTTTGCTAATCTAGAGGACGAAGCTAGAGTTAGGACGGGGAAGTTAAATACAAACGGCCCAGACATGGTTATACCGCGAACAACGAGACGATCTTTTTAAATTGTCTTAGACTCCCTCACCGGTCTACTAAACACGCTGATGGAGATTAATCATGAGGAATTGGCCAACAAGATTCGCTTCACAAGCCTGACAACATTGAGCGTAGAGACTTTCTTTAAAGGTACGTGTTGCAGAATACGCACACAAGCAAGCTCGCTGTGTTGAAGTTAGCATGCTTTGGATTTACCCGAGATACACTTCAGCTACTTCACTGGCCCATATTCGTTTTATCTCGAGAAGATTATTAACGAAGAACCACCAAATTTGTCTGGCAGGGCCAGCAGACAATCTTCCACACAAAAAGAAAGTGAGGATGCCAAAGAAGACAAACGAGAAGAAGCAGAGTGATGAAAAATTTTATCCAAGAACATGGAAGAGGAGTTCGACAAACAAATGTCCGCTCAAAGACTAAAGAATTAACAGACAGGTACCTTGCCGTGCACCCTGAGTATGCGTCCGTAAGTCATCTCAAATCCATCAGACATACCCGATATGTAACAACTGCGTGTTTTGTTGCCGATGGTGCAAATTGAGGACAAAGCACAGACAACAATAAGAGTGCGTGTGGTCTACTTAAAAGATGAAGTAATTGCAGTTAGACATAATCGTAGGAGAGAATTGTCCCCCTATTGACTTGCCGTACTGATGCAAACTATTTAGTCGAATTGGCTACTAGAAAATACATGAGCAACGCTGTAAAATTTCAGTGGCTTAATCAAACAACTGATCCAATGATTTACACTTGCGGTGACATATCAATGGAAAACTCGCCGAACTGCATCTTAGCAAAGGTGGACAATTTCTTACTTGAAGACAGTTGAAATATAATTTTGTCTCCCAACGAAGCCATCCGGTTGAGTAGGCTTGCTAACGGGGATGATGAAAGTGAAGATGAAGAAGAGGAGCAGGAAAGAGTATCTGCTGAACCACAAGAAACAAGACCATTAATTAAGACATGAAGGAATGAGCTCGTTAGGAAGTAGGACTAGTCGTTTTTATACTGCGTTAGGTAACAGAACTTACCAAATGATGAATAATGCTTCGTAATATTGACATTTAGTGTTTCTTGTTATTATGTTGATGTAATAAGCTTTAATATCATGTTTTGTTTTTTAAAAGTGTTTAAAGGTTACTAATGTACATGTATAAGACTATCGCATGCATGTTTACAGCAGTCTTTACCAGTTTTAGGTCCTCTAATCTTACAAAATATAATAAAGCCTTATTTTGACCGGATGTTATACAGGTTAGTTATTGAAATCTTTATAAAAAGTAACTATTAGTCAAGGAATGCACTGACTATTATTAAGAAGGAATCCGGAATCCGCGGGTCAGGATCCGGAATCCACGGATCAGGATCCGGAATCCACGAGCCAGGATCCGACACCATCTTGGATTCCTTTACATAGGGCGAAATCATAGTCAGATACGAAAATGAATTAACTTACGCCGAGAAAACTATGTATTTTTTTAAATGCTCATGTATTCGGCCACTTATAAAAGCGAAAAAATTACAGCTTAAATAGATATTGTAAAAGAAATGTTTTCCCATTTAAAAAAAGGTTTAATTGCAGCAGTGAAAACAATCTCGATCATTTGTGTTAGGCATTTTTCACTGATATAAAATATTGTAAACAAACTAAAAGTCTGTGTATAAAAAGACTTTTTTCAAGCATATTATCGTGAAACGACTAGAAAAACATACAAAAATATAAAAATGGCATATCTTATTCATTGTCCTTTTAGTAGAAAAACGTTCATTAAATCAAAACAGACTCTTTTCCATCTGTTTTTGATCGGATCTCAACATGAACCTGTCGTTGTTAGAAGCAACTGAATTTGTCAAAGCCAAAACGCCAGGCTTAAAACTTTTTATTCCTTTAAAACTTTTCATTTATTGCTACCATATTCATGAAAAAAAACATGTAAATTTACTGAAACTATACGTCTTTTTGTGTCTTTCTTGCCAATTTTCTCGAGTTTTCGTATTCGGTCGTGTTTTATATCTTTCATGCAACATTTCAATTTTTGTCAGCCTCGCTTTAAAAATACACAACTGCACTGATCTCAAATTAGTTCGCAAGCAACACTGGAATTTTAATGAATATCATTTTTAAATCTGATAAAAAATAAACACGTTATTTACCGGCAGCGTCGGTCCATGCATGCAGATGAGAAAAACTGTGCCCTCGATCTTGAAAACGTCCCTGCCCCTTCGGGCTCGGGCCGTTTTCAAGACCTCGGGCCATAGGCAGCCCAAAACGGCGTGTAGAATGCTTCCAAATGCCAATTTATATTAAGCTCGCCCCATTTCCTCTGTCATTTGTCGCGCGCCGCAAGCACTCAATGAAAAGCATTGTTCATATATTAGTCTAGGACCTGTATATGAGTTTGTATGCATTTCATTTAGGACAGATAATCTCAACTGTTTTGGGGAAAGTTGACCATGACGGTCGACATGGTAACGCTGCGCGAACCCCAATCCGGGGCGAAACGTCCGAAGCTGACCACACCCAAAAACGACGCTCTCGCCATAGTGCTATCTACCAAACCATAAGACTTTGGCTATTCTGAGGTGCTTATATGGTTCTGAGATGGTGCTTTTAGGGGTGGTCATTGGTAAGTGTGAAATGCCTAGCACTCACTTGACATAGTCAAACGTCAATTTGTGACTTACAAATTCAGATAAACGGCAGTGGACCTACATTACCTTTTTTCCTAAATCTTTTTTATAGAAACATAATTGGTACTTATTTAGTTATATTATCACTGTTTTGGTATAAAATAGTTAATATTTTGTGACCGAAATAATAATTTGAAATGTATATACCTCCATGCAAATGGAGGTATTTGGCCAAATTCTCCATTTTACTCCGCTGTTTATCGCCAATCTCGTTGAAATCCTTCCAAATATGTACGGCAGCTCAGACATAATGGTATCAAGCACATTTTAAACAAGTTTTAAATAGGTTTCAAGCAGATCCTAGCTGTTCAACCATCGACAAGGTAAAACCACAACTTTGTCCAATTCGGCGCCATTATGTCATCGCATGTCGGTTGTAAACAATTCGGCGTTGTTATTCTTCCATCCAAGCCATTTTCATACCAATAATAATAACAAATTGAACCCTTCAAAATAAATATGTAAACAAAATAGAAAAAATGCAGCATTTTATCACCCTGTAAAATGTTGCTTACGAGCTAGGATCTGCTTGAAACCTATTTAAAACTTGTTTAAAATGTGCTTGAGACCATTATGTCTGACCTCCCAATCATGTTTGGAAATATTTCAACGAGATTGGCGATAAACAGCGGAGTAAAGTGGAGAATTTGGCCAAATACGTCCATTTTCAGGAGGTAGGTACATTTCAAATTATTATTTCGGTCACAAAGTATTAACTATTTTACAGCAAAGCAGTGATAATATACTTAAATAAGTACCAATTATGTTTCTATAAATAAGATTTAGGAAAAAAGGTAATGTAGGTCCACTGCTGTTTATCTGAATTTGTAAGTCACAAATTGACGTTTGACTATGAGTATTGCATGGTCATTTTCTTGTGAAATATCAGTGCTAGGCATTTCACACCTACCAATGACCACCCCTAAAGGCACCATCTCTGAACCATATAAGCAACTCAGAATAGCCAAAGCTTTTATGGTTTGGTAGATAGCACTATGGCGAGAGCGTCGTTTTTGGGTGTGGTCAGTTTCGGACGTTTCGCCCGGATTGGGGTTCGGGCACCGTTACCATGTCGACCGTCGTGCTCAACTTGCCCTAAGACCGTTGAGATTATCTGTCCTAAATGAAATGCATACAAGCTCATATACAGGTCCTAGACTATATATAGAATATACCTAAGGTTGGCAACTATATCTCAACTGACGAATATACGACTTCGGCAAAATGCAAAATACTTCGCACACGTAAATAAAACATGATAAGAAATTATACCACATTGAACTCTGATAATTTTTCTATATACCCCACATAAATTTTATTTTCAAGACTGCAAGAAAGCTGAAAAATTTGCACAAACATTTCATGGTCTGACGTGTTGCCTCCATGCGGGATGCTAGAGGTTATTTCATTTCGTCATACTTTTAAAAAATTTATGTGATTCAATTGGTTGAAAAAGTAAACAGTTTGTGACGTATTATAGTAAAAATTTGGTTTCAGGGGGGGGGGTTGAACTACAACAGGAAGACTGGTAAAATACAAGAACGATTTTTTTTCGAAGATGAAATGGTGGATTTTAACTACTTTTTACATACATCTTACCCTGGATCAGGGGGTTTTCTGTTTTGCTGAAGCTGTAACCTGCACTCAGGCGGTGCTGGCCAAATTGGAAACCCCCTGGGCGCGATGTGTTGATTGATTGATTTCGCCGAACCAACCAGATGCCTAGGGTCAGATTTTGACCCTAGACATCTGATTGGTTTATCGTGCCTTATCGGTAAACATCAATAAACGTTTGCTGTATTCTATTCTATTTTATAATATGCTATTTAGTCTAGGACCTGTATATGAGTTTGTATGCATTTCATTTAGGACAGATAATCTCAACTGTTTTAGGGTAAGTTGACCATGACGGTCAACATGGTAATGCTGCCCGAACCCCAATCCGGGGCGAAACGTCCGAAACTGACCACA